AACAACCATCTACAAAAAAGTCCCTGAAGCACTCCCAAAGTTCTAAATGCTGTGTGGAGCTTGCCTAGTGAAACTCAGTATGGGAGTACATTGGCTATGCTGTCCATGCTTGCTTTCACACAGCAATGCACCCATAGCATTCCTTTCACATAGGGGCATATGAGCACAAGAGTGAGTGCGTTTGCACCCTTCCCTGAGCATCACAGAATGTTTGTGGTAAGTGGTATAGGTTTCCTACAGTGAGTGCTTCCAGGGAATAGTAAATCTAGTGTTCCTCTATTACACTGGTACACCAATTGTATACATGCTCCATTGTAAACCTGTAATACCCATGGATAAAGAAGACCACAACTTGCTGCACTGAAGTACCTGAAACATTTCGAAAGTTCTATGTGCTGTGTGCACCTTATTTCCCAAAACTGTGTATGGAAAAACACTGATTACACTCTCCCTGCTTGCTTTCACAAAGCAATATAGCCATTCCGCTCCTTTCACTCCTGCGTGTATTTGACCGGGAAGAGCGAGTGCATTTCCACCCTTCCATGAGCATCAAGGAATGATTGATGCAAGTGGTATAGATTTGCTATACTGAGTGCTTGTTGGAAATAGCACAAGTAGTGCTCCTCTAATACATTGGTACACAAGCTTTGTACCTGGTCCTATGTAATCATGTAATAACAGTGGAAAACCAAGAAAACAACTTTCTTCCTCATACTCTCTGAAATATGCCCAAAGTTCTAAGTGTTGTGTTGAGCTTATCTTGTTAAGGTGTGTATGAGAATACATTGCCCACGCTGTCCCTATTTGCTTACACACTGCAATGTACTCATTCCACTATATTCTCCCCTGCATGCACAGGACCAGAAAGAGTGAGTGCACATCCACCCTTTTCCTGAGCATTGGAGAATGTTTGCTGTAAGCAGTAAAAGTTATCAACAGTGAGTGCTTGTTGGCAATCGCAACCCTAGTATTCTTCCAATATGTTGGTACAGCAGCCTGATACATGGTCCTATGTAATCATATAATACCAGTGCAACAGCAGGAAAATAACTCTCTGCTCCAACCTCCCTGATCCATTCCCCAAGTTCTAAGTTGTGTTGAGCTTGTCTCATGAAACTGTGCATGGGAATACATTAGCTACGCTGTTCCTGCTTGCTTACACACTGCAGTGTACTGACTCCATTACATTCACGCATGAGCACAATGGAACAAAATGAGCCAGTGCATATCCACCCTTTCCTGAGCATCGCAGAATGATTGCTGTAAGTAGGATAAGTTTCCTATAGTGAGTGCTTGCTAGGAATAGCTAACCAGTGGTCCTCGAATATGTTGGTACAGCAGCTGTATACATGGGCATATGCAAATATGTAATAACAGTGGAAAACCAAGTAAACAACTTTGTCCCCAAACTCCATGATACATTCCCAAGGTTCTAACTTGTGTTGAGATTTTTCATGAAACTTTGTATGGGAGCACATTGCCTACACTGTCCCTGCTTGCTTACATATTGCAAAGCACTGAGTCCATGACCTTCACCCAAGCGTGAATTGCATGGAGAAGAGCGAGTGAAAATCCACCCTTCCCTGAGCATCGCAGAGTGATTGCTGTAAGTGGTTAAAGTTTCCTATAGTGAGTGCTTCTTAGGCTTTGCAAACCTAGTGCTCCTCGAATATACTGTTACACTACCTCTATACATGGGACCTGCCATCATATAAAAACCATTGCAAATCCGAGAAAACAGTTTTGTGCCTCAAAATCCCCGATACATTCCCAAAATTCTAACTGCTGTATTGAGTTTATCTCATGGAACTGTGTATGGGAACACATTGACTATGCTGTGCCTGCTTGGTTATACACTGTAGTATACTCATTCCATTGCACTCACCCGTAGGCACACTGGACCAAGAAGAGCGAGTTCATATCTAATCTTCCCTGAGCATCGCAGAATGATTGCTGTAAGTGGTATAAGTTTCCTTTAGTGAGTGCTTGTTGGGAATAGCTAAGCAGTGTTCCTGGAATATGTTCGTACAGCAGCTCTACACATGGGCCTAGGTAATCATGTAATATCAGTGGAAAACCAAGAAAAAAATTTTGTGTCCCAAACTCCTTGATACATTTCCAAACTTCTAACTGTTGTGTTGAGCTCATCTAATGAAACTGTGTATGGGAACACATTGCCTACACTGTGCATGCTTGCTAACACTCTGCAATGTACTGACTCCATTATATTCACCCATGCGCACATTGGAACAAGACGAGCGAGTGCATATTCACCCTTCCCTGAGTATCGCACACTGTTTGCTATAAGCGGTAAAAGTTGCCTATGGTGAGTGCTCATTGGAAATAACAAATCTAGTGCTCCTCGAATATGTTTGAACAGCACTTCTATACATGGGCCTATGTACACATGTAATATCAGTGGAAAACCAAAAAAACAACTTATTACCCCAAATTCCTGATACATTCCGAAAGTTCTAACTGTTGTGTTGAGCTTATCTCATGAAACTCTGTATGGGAACACATTGCATAAACTTTCCCTGCTTGCTTACACAACGCAGTCTACTCATTCATTTACAGTCAACAATGTGCGTACTGAAACGAGACAAGCGAGTGCATATCCACACTGCCCTGAGCATCGCAGAAAGTTTGCCATAAGTAGTAAAAGTTTCCCATAGTGAGTCCTTGTTGGGAATAGCAAACCTAGTGTTCCTCGAGTATGTTGGCACAACAGCTCTTTTTTTTGTTGTTGTTGTTTTTTCCAGTACTGGCAATCGAACTCACGACCTTGCGCTTACCAGGTAGGCACTGTGCCACTGAGGTAAATCCCCAGCCCAAACTATGAATTTTTATTTTATTTATTTATTTATTTATTTATTGCAGTACCAGGGATCGAACTGAGGACCTTGCGCTTACCAGGCAAGCGCTTATGCCACTGAGCTATATCCCCAGTCAAAACAAGAGTTTTCCCATTTGTCTTTCAGGTTTTTTTTTTTTTTTTTTTTTTTTTTTTCAGTACCAGGGATTGAACTTACAACCTTGGGCTTGCCAGGCAGGCACTTATGCCACTGAGCTATATCCCCAGCCCTGGCACAACAGTTCTATACATGGGCCTATGTAATCATATAATACCAGTAGAAAACCAAGAAAACAACCGTGTACCCTAACCTCCCTGATACATTCCTAAAGTTCTAACTGTTGTGTTGAGTTTATCTCATGAAACTGTATATGGGAACACATTGATTACACTGTCCTTGCTTGCTTACACACTGCAATGC